AAAGTTCTCCACCTCAGAGGTCCACCTCAGAGGTCCACCTCAGAGGTCCACCTCAGAGGTCCAGGTAGGATGTGAGCCCACAGTCAGCTGACTTGTGGGAAGTGAAGAGGCCGCTTCTGGTAAAGATCATAGAAAGTGAAAGGTGATGTGAAACCCCCGCCTGGCCCGACCCGCCCCCCCGTTCTCCACCTGATGTCCAGAGTCCCTCAGAGACGCGTTGACAGAGCGTCCTCCTGGGTCGTCCATCTGGAAGCTCTGTGATGTCCGGCTGGGATTCCTCCCCCCCCCGGGAGAACACGGGGACGGGTCAGCTCTGTGAGGGACGGACGGTAAGGAAGCCTGGGGGTGTTTGGGGACGGCGCCGCGGCTTGGGTCCAGTAAGCATTGCTGTGTTTGTGGTTGGATCAGTGTCTGAAGGACGAAGGACGGAGGCTGAAGAGGAGAGAGAAGAACCGAGTCGCTGCTCAGAAGAGTCGGAAGAGACAAACCCAGAGAGCCGACCAGCTGCACCAGGTGCTTGAACCCAGAACCAGAACCGGGTCTCGCTGTGGAGGTTTCTGATGGTCTGGATCAGCGGTTCTTTGGTCTCACTGCAGAAAACTGATCTTTGGGCTCCGGCTCTACAGGCGCCGAAACGATCTGCTGAAGATTAGCAGCTAAAATAAGATCATGGAGAAGTTTATTATTTTAATCAATTTCATCTCATTCTATCTACCTGCAGAAATCAAAGAATACATTTATTCATAAACATTTATTCATAAAATAGTTAATTAGATTTCCAGTTTCTGTGGCGCTGCTCTGAATGTTTCCCCCAAAATTAAACGATTAAATCTTCTTTGCTTGAAATATGATGCTTTTTATAAACAGATCATTTCTGTCACCGACTCAAGAAATTATTACCTATTTTTTTTATTAATGTTTAATTTCTGCAGTGAGACGAACCTCTGAAGGTTCTTTGGTTTTATGGAAGAGAAGCAAACAGCAGCTCAGGTTCTCCTCATCTGAGGAACCTGGACTTTAAAACTATTTACCTGGAAAACAACATATATTTGACCAAAATGAAAAGTTTAAATCCCTTATTAAAGGGAGCGTCCGTATCTGATGGTTACTGTGATTTTGAGCGAAGCCAATCAAATCATCGATTAATAATATCGGTACGTTTTCCAGGAATAATGTCGCTCTTTTGGTTTTAAAAGCCTTTTATGTTGGACACGTCTTACGAAGTTCTAAAAAAAGCCGTCAGAATTAAGAACGGGAACAGAAACCCAGATTAGCTTAAAAACGATAAAAGTCGCGCCTCATTGGGCGCTTAAAGTCCAGAGGAATAAAGATTCTCACAAAAAAAAATTCTTAACATTTTCTGGTGAAACTTCCTGGAAAATATTTCCAGGCTCTTTTTGAATTTATGGGCTGTGTCCTCTGAAGGCCGATGATGTCATAGCGTGGCGCCGAGGTCTGGTCAGATTCCAAGAGTCCTCGTTATGCGGCCTTAAAATGCGTCCTTCTTTTAGCAGGTTATTTAACTGACTAAGGTTTCTATCATTACATTTGATTTTATGGTTGGAACATTTATTCCTCTCTGGATTCAGTGAAGTCGTCCTGCTGAAGGATGGACCTGTTTGGATTCACAGCCAAAACTCTTCCAGTCTCCTGATTTTCAAGGACTTGGAAGGATCCAGTCCAGGTTAACCGAGTCCTTGGTAGAATCAGCCCATGAATTCATACACAGCCTGGCTGGTGAGGCTAATAATTGCGTCAATCAATCTTTCCCAGTAGAAACAAGGTCACATGTGGAACAAAAAAATAGGTTCCTGCTTTTTAACCAAACTACATAAACAACTTTTCTAAAAGTATTTATTTATGATTGAACTTTCATTTTATTACTAATATGAATGAACTCGTGTTTCTAACTAAATAATAAAATAATCAAATGAGTCAGAAGGCAGCTATAAGGTCAGACACTGATAACGAGCTAGCTTCCGTTAGCTACGTCTCATTAGTTAATGTTTAGCTTCCTCCTGTAAACCAGCACAGAGTTCCACTAAGCAGGCTGAATGTTCACTTCAGACGGTGCTGGTAAAATAAAACATTTAATTAGAACATTTAGTGCTGAGAAAAAACACATTAACAGATTAATAGAAATAATGTTTGAAACAAAAAAAGCCAGTATAAAGAGAAAAGTGTAAGTAGGTCATTCCTAAAAAGTT